CAACAGTGTATTTTCTTAACAGGAAATAAGTATCTAATATTTTTTTGATTTATGCACATTTGTCAATACCTGTGATATATGAGTCCTATCATCATAATTAAATGTTTTGGGTATTTTATATGACTGTTTTATTCGTTTATTGACATGACGCTCCAACTCACAACATGTCTAAGGTAAATTTAGGTCTTTTAGTCTGGGAGAACAACTAATATTATTCATTATCTGGTTGCTCAACTTTCCAGGTAACATTTCATTTGAATTAAAAGTTGCAGTGGCGCCCCATATTTTTTGTTTAACCTCATGATTGCTAGATAACTGAATTTTTGCTATTTAAACTCATTTTGATAACTTGAACCCATAGTGCCTACTGACGAAGAGCTGCCGTTCGCAATTGCACCTATTTTTCATAAAAGTAGGGCTGCAGATTGATCAATAACGAACGAACTACAATACGTAAATCATTTCAAATAGAAATTTGACTCACACTGATTAGCTTCTGAACCCTTCATGGGGTCGACATTTATTATTTTTTGTTATCCCATGGGTTACTAGATGAAATACTTCTCAATACATAATGAACAACTTGTCAATATTTCCGTCATAGAATCGTTGATTGTAAATATTTTTTCATAGAACTAGGTACAAGTCTATTTCAGAGGACACTGATTCCCGTGGCGTACGCGATTTTTTTTAAATCGCTAATATGGGTTCTGTTTTTCAGCCTCTGAATGTGATCTAGTAGGCCCTGGTTTCCACTAACGCAGCTTAGCTCCAAAATACACTTTCCCTACCTCCAAATTTCAAAAAAAATCTCCAAAATCGCTTCATAAATAAATAAATGAGGGTATAGCCCGCTATCAAATGTGTTAGAAACTGGATATTACACCGCACCACCCTATACATCGATACCTTCTGATTCTATTAGTAAGACATGACTCAGATGGTTACGTTACATGATGAAGAAGAGGACAGTCGTTGGAGAATATAGATTATTAATCGTTTATCTTTTGTAGAGCACACATCGTGAATATAAATTGTTTAAATTTTGAAAAGTGTTTCAATATCCATAGTCCAATATCTCAGAAGTGTGGATAAAGAACTGCTTAAGGAGTGAAAAAAAAATCATAGTGAAACTGTGTAGTTGCTTAGATGCCGAGAAATAAACGAATACGAGGCCCTAGTTCATCGAGTTCTTGTGGTTCAACGAGAGGTTCTAGTGCAAGTTCCACAACTTCTAATTCAAGCCAGACTACAGGGAGACGTCGGAAACGGCGGTGAGTTCGAAAAGGTCGAGACATTCACGGGGATCCAAAAGAGTAAGATTGTCTGACAAACAGCTCATCGAAATAGGAGTGAGTACTGCATTGAATTATTTTCGTGAAAGAAATAATAGCAATATTCTCGCAAAAGTTATACCTGATTTTGACCCAAAAAAAGAAAATGTTCATGAATGGTTGAATATTATCGATGAACATGCCAAATGATATGATTGGGATGAAAATACAGTGAAATTCCAAGCACTCAACAAACTCAAAGGTACCGCTGAGAAATGGTACCACAATTATATCACAGATGAAATCGGGTGGGCTAATTATTCATGGGCAAAATGGAAGAGACTATTGGGAGAAGTTTTCCAGGCAGATCGTAATACTTACGCCCTGTTCATGGACGTGGCCAATCATAAACCACGACGTGGGGAGTCCTTATATTCTTTCCATTTTGACCATCTGGCAAAAATAAATAAGCTCAAATTAAATTTTTCCGAAACCGACAAAATTTCTCTTATCTTGGGCTCAATTGATAATGAAACTGTATCATCCGCAGTAAATGCGAGTGGTATAAATAAACTGAATTCATTAGCTAATTATCTAAAGGATCGAGCACATGATAATAGTAGCACCAGTACCTCGACCAGTACTATTACGAATACCAAATCGCATTTTCATAATACTACGAGGGATGCGAAATTTCAAAATCAATTCCAAACTCAAACAAAAATTGAATGTCACACATGCGGTAAAACGGGGCATAAAAAAAAAACTGTAGCTTCAGAAATATCGCGAAAGAACAAACTTGTAAATAATGTAACAAGCCAGGACATTTTGAAGCTGCCTGTTTTCAGAAGAAAAAAAAGAACCAACAGCAAAAAGAATTCAAGGGAGAAGTTCAGTCAAAATTTGAGGTCAAGTTAATATCAACTGGAAAGAAAAGCAAATTCTTCAGAAATATTTCAATCAATAACAAAGAAGTGTCAGCTTTTATTGATTTCGGAAGTGATTGTTCTGTGTTAGAAAGACAGACTGTTGAGCGTCTGGGCCTACATACTTTTGATTTAGATCGTCCTATTTCTCTAGCCGGATTTTTAGGACATGGCATAGACATTCAGCAATTTGTCGAAGCCACCATAGATATCGGTGAAGTATGTCTCCCCTGTAAGCTTTATGTAAGTGATGAATATTTGGAATCCAGTGAATGCATCATCGGTAGAAATTTCACAGAACATAAGGAAATCAATTATTGTAGGATTGATGACGAATATATTTCTAAAACACTGGATCATTGACAGTACCGTAGAAATTATATAGAGCATTATTCTAGGCAATTTCTAAAACACTGGCCTCGACAGGTCAGTACTGTAGAAATTCGGTTGAAATTGATGACGAATATATTTCTAAAACACTGGATCATTGACAGTACCGTAGAAATTATATAGATCATTATTCTAGGCAATTTCTAAAACACTGGCCTCGACAGGTCAGTACTGTAGAAATTCGGTTGAAATTGATGACGAATATATTTCTAAAACACTGTATCATTGACAGTACCGTAGAAATTATATAGATCATTATTCTAGGCAATTTTGAAAACACTGGCCTCGACAGGTCAGTACTGTAGAAACTCGGTAAAAATTGATGACGAACACATTTTCAAATCGCTGTATGTGCCTCGGTATGTGCAGTCTTATGAAAATTCATTCCTGGATCATTGCGAATTTCTAAAACACTGTCTCACAGGAGCGCAGTCCCGTAGAAATTGGTTTAATAAGAAACGTCTCAAACACTGAGCATTTATCAACACACTTGAAGTACCCTAAAAAAAAAAACGAATGACAGCGACTGTCCAGATACTCATCAATACCGATTTCTGTTTCAGATCGATACCTTGAGGACAAGGACTTTGTAGGATGGCCGGATGTTAGAAACTGGATATTACACCGCACCACCCTATACATCGATACCTTCTGATTCTATTAGTAAGACATGACTCAGATGGTTACGTTACATGATGAAGAAGAGGACAGTCGTTGGAGAATATAGATTATTAATCGTTTATCTTTTGTAGAGCACACATCGTGAATATAAATTGTTTAAATTTTGAATAGTGTTTCAATATCCATAGTCCAATAAATGGGTCATAAACAACTTGTCAGTAATTTAGTCATAGAATCGTTGATATTGAATATTTTTTCATGAAACTTGGTACAAGTCTACTTTAGAGGATGCCAATTGACACCTTTTGAAATCTTCTTCGAGATCGTTTCACAAATCAAAAAATTATGAGGGTGGCCCGCTTTTAAATCAGTCATAAAATACTTGTCAGTAATTTAGTCATAAAATCGTTAATGTTGAATATTTTTTTTTAATTTGGTACAAGTCTACTTTAGAGGATGCCAATTCCAGTGGCGTACGCCAATTTTATCTAAAAAATCGCTAATATGGGTTCTAGATTTCTCAGCTTCTGAATGTGATCTAGTAGGCCCTGGTTTTTTGAATGAACTGAAGCCGCTTGGCTCCAGAATACACCTTTCCTCCCTCCGCATTTCAGAAAAAAAATCTCCACACACAAAAAAAATGCTAGTTTACATTCGAGTATAAAGTTAGTCTTGAAAAAACATCCTCAAAATAAGTGTTCTTTCATTTGAATTGAAAATATCTCTATTGAGAGAAGAATATACTACTCTCATTATAAAAAGACAGATACTCTTGATCATCAAGATTAGGATACATTTTCTTGAAAATTTTTTATTCTCAATCCAACAAATTTACTTGTCTGAAAACAAGAACAGATATAAAGTACATTTCAAAATTAATTCATTTTTTCTAACAAAATGCAAAACTTGCGTCAATAGATTCTATCGTTAATTTGCTATTATGTCAACATTGATTTAAAATTAATGCATTCTTCGAACTAAGATATGCATTCTTAATTGTAAGGAACATACTCTTCATCGAGAAGTCCCTTTCATTATATTAAGAATAGCTATTGTTATGGTTAGAATCAGATTAATCTCATATCAATATCAGTTACAATTTCACCCAAGAATAGGCTACTCTTGATCCGATTGTCATATACTTGGATCACAGACTAGCTAAACTTCAAGGCAGACTATGAAAAATTCGTCGGTACAGAGGGGGTATTGCAGGTCGCGTCTTGTCCTATCTTGCATCGGTCGACGACGAGACTCGGGAAGTCAGGACAGTTTTAGTGAGGCAACAAGCGGCGGTAAGGAAAACTGAAAACAAACCCTTTTTTAGTTTTGCCGGTGATTTTGTCGTTTATGGCAATATAATTGGTGGCCAGGTAGCCGTGCGGACAGAGTGTCTATATTCTAATTCGCATTCGCTTGCCGGTCGTGGGTTCGATCCCCGTCGACTGCAGAAATTTTTCTGATGGCCCAAGAAAGTGTTTGGGATCACACGTTGAAAGGTAAGGCCCCCTTCATTCCTTGCTCGCACAAGACTTTCGAAGACTTTTGAGGGTTGCTCGTAAGGGGGCAACCGAATGACGGATAGAACAAATTTTAGAACAAATAAGTCTTGAGAAAATATGGAGGAGCTCTTACGAGAATGGAAACTATATCCAGACTTTTAGGAAAATCTAATTTGCTCATCAGTAAGTTACTAAAGATTATTTCTATATTCCTATATTATATACTATATTCATAGTACGGTCACTCGATTTATAATACTTAATTATCATGCAAAAATTACTATATCAATATGCAGATTGACAGAAAAGGTAACTTATAAGATCCATCAACATTTTTTCATGCCTTAATTGCGACTATATTTTCTACTGCAAAAATGTCATAATCAAATACATATCACGATTTTCGATACAAGTTCGTTGCTTTTTCTAGAACATGAAATAACGGAAGACAATATGCATTTGCTATCCGAAGATATGATTAAAGAATTAATTCCTAGTATAGGAAAACGAATGATTTTCATCGAAAAATGGAGAAAAATGAAAGAAAAATCATCGGTTTGTATACATATATTAATATTTATCTCTACATACGTAGACAGGATGGCCCATTAGTGCGAGGGAGTCCAATATCTTCGTTATCATTGGAGATACAAAAACAAAACTCATATAAGTTTCAGGGTTTCAATAGGTGCATATTTTGAAAATACTCTCATATATACAGGTTGTTGCAATACAGCGGGGCAATATAAATGAATATTTTTAAATGTTAACGTCTATTGATTTTCACTTCATGAAACCGAGCACATCATTCCATATAGACACCATATTCAATTATGACATTGATTGCGTTGTTGCCAAATAATATTTTTTTCTTGAAAATTACCTACTAGAAAAACAATACATCATAAAACTGCTAACAACTAGTTTTGATGGAAAGTGCCATAGGATCATCATCTTCAGACATGCTCTCAACATTATATCAGACATATCCGTCAATAAGATATACACTGTAGGTACTTCTTATACACTGGTGAAAATTTCGCAATATTCGAAACGTCGAAACTTGATTTTTCAGATGGAACACACTGTATATTTTCACTCCATTTTACAGATACTATCATGCTCTTCAAATTGTGTACTATAAATCATGCTCCAGGAAAGAGCAATTTCCGAAATATTCTCACCTTTAGTGGAAAAGGCAATAATCATAGAAAAAATTATATTTTTTGAATTGACTCGGTCGTAACTTTCGTTGGAAATCCATAGTTAATGGAAAAAACTCCAAAAACGATAAGATTTTCACAAAATTCATAACAACCCTGAAACATATCTGTGTTTTGTTTTTGTATCTCCAATAATAACGAAGATATTGGACTTCCTCGCACAAATGGGCCACCCCATTTCAAGTTGGTCTATCTTCGATTACTTTACAGTACCTATTTTATAAATATAATATTTATTCAACTCTAGGTCGTAGATGATCACAGTACACATCAGTCATGCTCTACTGATGTAAATTATACAAGAAGTGATTTATCCTCCGAAGTACTTGATGCTGTAGTACTTGAGGAGAATGATAATATGCTGTCAGTACCTAGCATAAACGAGGATAACGCATTATATGTAGTGCCAGTTGTAAATAGGATGGTATCCTTTTATGGAAAGGAAAACATGTCAAGCTCTATCGGCGAAGATTTTCCTGATTTCGATCTGAAAACGCTACTAGCAGTTTCCCCTTATGGAGATCTAATTTCGAGGCACTTCAAAGACCATGGTGTTTTGAGTGAATACATAAGAAACAAACTTATGTACGTTATAATCAAAAGTATGCTAATTTGACTGAAGGACTCAGGTCGATGGCCCTTTGGTTGTATTTATTATTATGATCAATAAAGTACTTTTCTTCTTTTTGTGCTGACTCGAAGTTAATGATTTTCCTCATATAATGTTTCAATATTCTAGCCGCCTGACCCATTCCCAATATAATACAATATGTGCAAAAATAATATCCACATTTCCAAATGAGTGCGCCACTCACTCGATATTACAAATCGGGACAGAAAACTAATAATCTTACAGTGCAGGCTAAAGGAAAATTGGTAAATAAAGTAAGAAATCTACTATATAAAAGTCCCGATAATGTATATGTCAGAAAAAGGAAGTTAGCAGAGAACCCCTCAACATTAAGAGACGTTTCGGAAGGTGAAATATTTTTAGTAGATAGAGTTCACTACAATCAGTGATGATATAAAGAATTAGGAATGTATATAGTTATTTTCAATTTGATTTTTTAGAGGAGAAAGAAGCGGCCACTTGGCTCAAATATAATAGAGAACCATGGGCAGAGGTAATCAGGTTATGGAAATTGACACACAAATATCGCATTGAAGCAAAAAATAAGCCATTAACCGAATTAATAGATTGTTGGCCCTCACTGGAAGATCCCAGGGGAGACTCTTTGGTTAGTAAATAAAAAGTGTTATGGTTTTAGCATAGTATGTTTGTATACCTGGCCAAGAAGCAACTTTATTACTAAAACCTCTTAGTTTTAGCGTATATCACAAAGTTTATATTGAATTTAAAATTGATTCATCCTAAAGATTCATGCTTATTACAATTAAAACTAATATAAGTTTCTATATTTTCAGATTGAAACTGACTTTGAATTGATGCATCCGGGCAAAGACTTATTGCTACTGACAAATTGGGATACATTCTATAATAAGGTGGAACTTTTAAAAAAATCTCAGGTTGGTAAAGAGGACCCTATTCTGGAGGATATTTTAAACAAGCCCAGTGCGGAAAATTCATCAACAGGTGAGTTATTTAAATATTATTTAAAATGATTACATTTTCTGTCATATTTTACGAACACTGATGCATATTTGGATTTTCATTCACATTTTAGGAGGTAGGTGTGCATTGCAGCTGGCAGCCATAGGGAGACTGATCCCTCCCAAAGGAAGAATCATCCAAAAGGAAAAAAACCACTGGAAATTTTCCGTTGCCGAATCTGTCGATACAATTTTCATTTCCTGCATGGTGAGTTATATGTTATAGTTATGTTGAGTAGTAACGAACGTGAACTTTGAAGTCTAACTTATACTTTCTCAAGAAATATTAAATTTTGTCGATGAGCCTATATTTTCTGAATATCTATTTCAGAACCATAGTGACGTGGAAAACATTGTAGTCAATCAAAAAGAAAAAGCTTTGAAGCGGAAAATATCTTACGGGGAGGTGCAGCCATATATAATTCTCGTTGGACCACAACTTTCAGAAACAACAACTGCCTATGTTGTAGTCGACAAAATTTTATTTAAACATACTAGTGTTTTGAAAGCATTAGATATTCTTTTCAAAACTTTCATCGCACTAGATTTGAAATACCCTCCTCCTAGTGAACATATTCATACACTAATACAAAAAGGTATATTCAAAATTTCTTGCGATACTGATGAAACTTTACCATACATCGGAGATATTCTAAATTATTTGACTGAAAAGGTAAACAATAAATATCAGAATGCATTGCAACTATTGTGGGAAAGATATATCCAATGTGGATAAATTTATTTTTCATTTAGAATATGCTCATAATGACATGACTCAAAGTAGTTTTGTGTGCCCATTCAGTAATTGCTGTCGATCATTCCATAGAAAAGATAGTTTCAGAAAACACCTCAATTTGAAACATATGTTTGAAAATAATCATGAAAATGTCTCTACAACCGCTAACGTGAATGAAAGTGAATTTGGTTCCACAAATCTCAATTCAGATTTCCCAAACGTTGCACAAAACTCACAGAAGACGAGCTTCAATGATACCGAACGTCAGCAAAAATTTAATAGTGATAAAAAACGAAACGACTTTCTATTTTTATTGCAAAAATCAGCTACAGGATTTGTATGTAAACTGCAAAATGATCCCTCTTCATCTCGAAAACTAGTTCAGACATTTATAGAATACATGAAAGACTTTTTGGATTCTGGATTTCTTAGCATCCTCAAGGAGTTTCGTCGAAACTTTGATATTATGCGACATTTAATCGATAAAATTCGAAATTGTTTCAATCCACTAGATACCTATTATAAAAGAATAAAATTTGCAGAGGATTCAAAAGCGTATATAACGCCAATACCATATGTTATTGGCACTTCCACAGATAGTTCCAGGCAAAATAATAATAGTACATTGATTGTGAAAAACAGAACTGCAATTTTCATCTCCCCATAAAAAATATCAAAATTATTCTTTCAGCTGCCACATGTTTACAGCAAAATTTCAAATTATCATAATCAAACGTATATTAAGAAATCTTTCTTTGCTCATGTGGAAGCGAATAAAAATAATTTCAAAAATATTTTAGATGGACATTTGTGGAAGGATATGATCTGCCAAAATAAACTGAAAACTGTATTTCCATTAATTCTATATTTTGATGATTTCGAAACTGGAAATCCACTAGGTAGCCATGCTGGGGTATACAAATTAGGAGTGATTTATTTCTCAATACCTTCATTACCTCCTGAATACTCTAGTAAGTTGAAGAATATATTTTTGAGTTTAATATTCCATAGTTCCGAGAGGAGCAAATTTAGCAATGAAAAAACGTTCAGTGTCTTGATGGAGGATCTGAAGCTGCTAGAAACTCATGGTATCGACATTGAAACAGACCAGGGGAAGAAAACTTTATATTTCAATGTAATATTAATAATTGGCGATAACTTAGGTGTTCATTCAATTTTTGGTTTGAATGAAAGCTTTTCTTCAAATTATTTCTGTAGGTTTTGTCTAACATTAAAATCTGTGAGTCAAACGCAAACACGATTAGTTGATACAGATATGCGGCAAATAAATTTGTATAGTGATCATTTTGAAAATGAAAGCTTTGGAGTTAAAGAAGGATGTATTTGGAATGAATTGAAAAGTTTGTATATATAAAAACTACTGTGCTGACATAATGCATGACTTGTGTGAAGGAGTTCATCGTTATGATATGGCGTTAATAGTGGATTGTTTCATAACCCAAAAAATATTTTCATTAGAAACTCTGAATTCTAGAGTGAAATATACGAATTATGAAGGTTGTGAAAAAAATATTCCACCGCCTGTTACAAAAGACCATCTGAAGAAAAAAATGATAATTTTCTCTTCTGCGGAAATGTTATGTTTTGTTAAAAATTTTAAATATTTAGTAAACGATTTAGTTCCTATACAAGATCCGATATGGAATTTTTATTTAACGTTGTTAACTATAACAAATATTCTTTTTCCCCATGAAATAAGTTTGGGAGTTATAAATCACCTCAACTTATCAATTGAAAAATATCTTAGATTACATTTGGATTTGTTTCCAGATATTACATTGAAACCGAAACATCATTTTTCACTTCATTATCCAAATATTTTAAAAGAAATTGGGCCATTGAGCAAAGTATCTTGCATGAGGTTTGAAGCAAAACACAGGAGTCTGAAAAAAATTGCCGACAGTGTCCAATGTAGAAAAAATCTTCCTCTTACTATTGCCAAAAAATCTCAACTGATATTTGCGACTCGTTGTGTTTCATCTAATGGATTAACAAATTCCATAGAAATCGGTAAAATTATTATAGAGTTTCCCCAATACGAGCAATATAATTTTGTAAATGGATTCAATCACAATTGGAGTAACTTTTTTGAAATGATGTGGTTTGAAAAAAATGGCATTCGATATAAAAATCAGGATGTTCTGTATTATAACGCCAGTGATCCTGTGACTCCCAGGATTTGTCAAATTGTTCATATATTTGTACCCAAATCTGATGTAAAAAAATGTTACCTGATATGTGATGCAATGAAAATTCGTCAGATCAATCAGCACTTTCAATCATTCGAGGTAGCAAAATCTGGAAATTTTTATATTTTATCTCTCGATTATATGGAGTACATCTTCCCCACAATAGTACATTGCATTAAAAATACTCTGTTAGTACCTATTTTGATTTTTGGCAACAGCCTCAAGATCATTGAGTTGATTTAATTTTTCATATTGTATTATTTTATAAGACACGCCTTTCAAATAATGTACCTACTATACATAATATGTCATAGATGTGAGAATAACGAATAACTTTAATTTTATTCAAGTAGTCTCAAAAAGACTGAATAGAACTATAGAAATCAATATTATTTTTGAATCTTTCTACTGGGTGATGTTGAAATGAGATGTATTGATATATGAATATAGTGAAACATTAATATTGTCTAATTATGTATTTGGTTTTTCAATAACCATATTAATATTCGACAGATCTTCTCAATTTTCTCAAATCACCCATGTTTTTGTTATGAGAGTTCCTATGTTTTACCTGATTTTGTTATATTTTGTTGATTATTGACATTATTATTAATATAATGGAGCTGTTCTCTTTTTTATCCCCAATAAAAAACTTGTTACAAAGTTCATTGTGGAACATTTCTGTCTGAACCCATGTACCCTTGAAATTTTAACACATGGTTTGAGATTTTTCCAACATCGAAATTACACGAATTTATGAAAACATAAACATTTTTTGTTTCGATTTTTAGGAACATATTTGGTTAATGGAGACACATACAATACAAGAATGTTTGACCACTCCAGACAGTGTTTCTGGGATCTCTTCTGCATCTAAATTAGCACAGTATACAGGGTGATTCACGGTGGATGGCCTATTAGAAATATTTAGAGAAATAAAAGACAGAACATTTTGAAAATTGGGATGCTCTGATAATTGATCTATCTGTCCAAAATATTTTCATCGAGACAGTGTTGCCACTTCTATCAGAAACAGTTAGCAACTTTGTTATTTCAAATGGAACACCCTGTATTTCATTACATTTTCAGATTCTTCCTGAAGAGCTGATTTCATCAATGTATCACACTTGGGTTCTAGCAGGAATGATTACAGAGATATAGGGTGTTCAAGATTAGGATTTTTCAATGTTAAGATTTTTTTGTGTCGAAACTATTCATTATCGATCAAAACGGTTAACATGTCCCTATCTCAACTTTCGATTCACTGTCTACTGACATTTAATTGGAACAGATACAGGGTGATCAGAATTCTGAATCTTGAAGCACCCTGTATTTTTTCAAATTAAATTCCAGTCGATAGTGAATCAAAAGTTAAGACAGGGACATGTTAGCCGTTTTGATCGATAATGAATAGTTTCGACACAAAAAAATATTGAAATTGAAAAATCTCGATTTTGAACACTCTATATCTCTGTAATCATATTTGCTAGACCCCAAGTGTGACACATCGATGAAATCAGCTCTCCAGGGAGAATCTAAAAATGCAATAAACTACAGGGTGTTCCATTGGAAATAACAAAGTTGCTGATTGTTTCTAATAGAAGTGGCAACACTGTATCGATGAGAATATTTTAAACGGAGAGAGAATGTTCAATTATCAAGGGATCCAAATTTTCAGAATGTTCTGTCTTTCCGTTCTCCAGATATTTCTAATAGGCCATCCACCGTGGATCACCCTGTATATGTATTGTACTTTGGAGAAGCTGAATAGCACGAGCAGCAAAATGTCAGTGCATGTTTGAGCATCTTCTAATCACGATGCAGAAGAAATACATAAAACTATCTATAAAACAATGATAGATTGGACTTTCATTAAGATTGGATATTATTTGTTTAAGAACATTCCTATATTGAGCTGAATATCCCTAGAGCTAAATAAAATGTAGATGAAATTCAAACAAATACAAATTATTTTGAGCTCGACTTATCATAGTCTTCAAATAATGCTTCTTATTTTTACATTAAGCATACCTACCTATTTTTGCTCTGAGAATGAAGAAATGGTTCACTTATTTGAAGGTTTCTTAGCTTTCCATCAAGTGTGGAAAATCATTCAATATGAATGTATTTTGGGTTATTTCGATTTTATTAATCCTTTGTTCAAGATGAAATTGTCATCACGACCAATAAGTCTTATACTTATTACAAGTTTTTATCATTTACAGGGAAACTAAGAATCAATTTGCTAGAAGAATATACTATATTTAATCATATTTGGCTTGCTTTCAATTCGAGTTTTGTTAAGGTTTAGAATAATTATTACTATACTTAGGTTAAGTTCACTTTTAATTATTACCAATAAAATGTACAGATCGGTATAAGAGTTACGTGCATTTTAAATTAAGTATAGTTCTCTTTGCGGATATATAAGTCTAACTTACCTTTCAGTCAAGACTACTATTCTTGCATATAGTATATATTTTTTTCTGTGCAATCGCTTCATAAATAGAAAAATTATGAGGGTGGCCCGCTTTCAAATGGGTCACTCTGTATATACTTTTCCGTCGAGTCATCATGCTCAGAAAACAGGATCTTCACTCGGATTTGGATAGCTTACATGATATTATCTGTCTTCTGGAACTATTTCTTCTACTAAACTTCGGCTACGGTAGAGCTGGATAATCTCAGTTCGTTCCTGTTGATTTCTTGTCGAATCGTCATTCTCAGTTGTTTTTGGCACTTTCTCATCAGAAAGTACGCACCCATCAAAATCACGCGAAAACTAGGAATGTCAATATCCATTCAGTACGTGAAACTCCTCAGCTACTCAGTTTTGCATCAGCATCACCACTTGCTGTTTGGGCGATAATGACCTCATCTTTGGATTGACGTCCTCCCATTTTAATAAACTTTCAATTGTTCTCGTTCTCCATTCAATTATAGTTGAAAATTAGTTATGGTGACTAATTCAACTCCAGCTATTGGTACTCATGAGAAGGCACTGGCAGGATCGCCATGTAATGTTAGGATTAATAGGTTCAAGTCAAGCAACCCCCATGTACCATAATATGTCTTTATTATATCATAGTTCTTCAAAGACTCCCTAATTGAATATCATATCATTGGTTTCACAACACCAATGTTATAATTACCAATATATAAATAAGTAAATGTGAACATGTAAATAAAAGTTATTATACAGTATGATCATGATCGTATACCTACCATAAAATATACATTTTTCTATCTTCTTCAACAATTTGTTCGAAGTTTGTGAAGTTAAGCTGATTTTCTATTGCACTTTCAGATATTCCCTTAGCTCTTTTTGTTTCACTTTGACTCAGCTGGACGCAATAAGCTTTAGCTCCTGTACTATAAAAACTTTCTAGGAGGGCTCCACCATACTCATCCTTGAATTTTCCAACTGCAGCCTTGATTTGGGGAATGTTATGGATATTCTTGTCTGGATAATTTGATTTATCAAACCAAAATGAATTATCTTCGATATCATTATACACATTATCAGTATTCATATGTAGTATCAACGAATCTGTATCAGTATAGAATAGTGAAGCGCTTTCACCATAGTTTGACTTGATGAAATCATAATAGAAATCATACATCACTGTTTTTGATATATCGAGAATAGAGAAACCCACATATGAAGGTTTGTCATAGCAAACTTTCAGCTGTTTCATTTGAATGGCTCCTAAATTCTCGGAAAATACAGAACTGGACTTGAAATGAGGTTTACTTATCAGAACTTGAGCACCAGTTGTGCCACGCCCATTCTCCCAATGTGATAAGAGCTCTATATTGACCCGTTTATCAACATTCTCCATAGTTTTGCCAAAAATTGAATTTATGAGATACTTAATGGGATCTTTTTCGAATGCATTTTTAGCATTCTAATTCTAATATTCTATGAACTTTTTTCAATACCAAACCATGTTTCAAATACTGTTCGAGATTTCTGTAGTGTATAATATATTTACTCTTATCATGAAGGTTTAGAATAAGTTTGGAGAGTTTTCCATTTGGTGGAATGATATTTTCTGGACAAAATGGAAAATCATTATGAGAGTCATGTAGTTTTTCAGGATATTCCAAATCTACTTCTGAAACGTAACCCTTATCAGAATCATCTTCATATATCGAACAATCGGAATTTGCAATTTCTTCTTGTGTTTACCTTATGAATTCACCTTTTGGTAGAGGTTCACTCATCGCGCAACCATAATGATTGGTCGCATCTAGATACAAAAGATATGAATTAGGTTTGAAGCTATCATTTGGGAGAAATTAGTTATTAGCTGAAGCTTCCTTGTCGAACATTGGCTGACCCCACCCCGAATACCTTTTCTGAAAAAATGTAGCATGTTCATATCGGTAATTAGTTCGAGTTGAGATTCTCTATTACGTAGCATGGCATCCCAACTTAATGAAGGAGCTGTATAATATTGTGCAGGATCGAGCTTATATATTCGTATACAAAATTCCCGAAAATTTCAGAATATGTCTGCAAGTAATAATACATCAGATTTGAGGTAAACATCGGAGTAATCACCCAAAGTTTCACATTTGAAAATATTCCATACATTTTTGGCCTTGTTGTAATCTTCCAAACTTAGATCCTCACCACGCAGAATGTCGAAGAAATCATTTCGACGTGGCAACTTTGTTTCATTCAACTTTTCAATTGAATTCACGTATGAATAAGGAAAAATACTCAAACTCGTTCTGGTTGGGAAAATATTTCCTAATTTCCGTACACTGGTCTGATTGCAATGTTTTACTAAATTTATCGATAGATCCGGGTAGAAAACGGAACGAGTCAAGAAATCGTGATTTTATATATACGTCTCTCACTTCACCATCAACTAGAATATGTTTTGAGAAAGATATGTATTTCTTTTTGTTTTGTGCTAAAACGTCTATTTTTTTTTATTCAAGGCCAGTTTCTTGATGAAAATATGACAATCATTTTTTGTAAGGTTATGTAAAAATACGGGGATGAATTTGGGGATCTTGTGATTTAAATTACATTCAGAATGTGCCATGTCCCTATAGTGATCTATCATATGACAGTGGTCTCTGACTCTAACCTCATTAACCCCAATTATTTTTTCACAAATTTGACATGTAGTACTGCTCCCAAAACTCTCCTCTTGGGCGTCTGTAAGAGGTAACATTTCTTTAGGATACTTCAAATGATCACTGTAGAGTTGAATAAATTCTTGCTCTATTTTAGTGACAAATACATCTCCAGCATCAATACCACGATAATGGATCAATTTTGATAACGAATCATCAAAGCTACATTTGATGTAAAAAGAGAAGGAGTATGGAATATTTTCATAGGTTTTAACAGTGAATGATTTGCCGCTATTAGGTTCATTATATTCAATTAATTTCAAATAATTCTCGAAATCTGCGTAAATAACGAATGGAACTGTGAGCTGTTTTTCAAGATTGTTGGCAACGCTGGCGTGTGAGTAAGCACGTTTATGCAGCGCTCCCAAAATAATTGAGAGTTTAATCGAAAATACGGTATTTTCTGACTACAAACAACCAGTATTGTGAGACTAAGATAGTTTTTCGGCAATCGAACACAAATTCTTCACAATTAGTTAGTTTCGGTCAAGTTGAACATCAAGTACTTGAAAGTGAGAACAATAATTGAGGTTAAGGTACCTCGTACTACCTACGGACGCAGTGATATACGCATTGTTGTCACTTGTTTTTTTCAGTGTTTCATTGTACTACAGGAAATATGTCGAAAACGAGACAGCAGTCGCAAAGTTCTTCAGAAGGTGGTTTATCTGAGGAGATGATTGCGAAAATTTGCAAGCAACAAGCAGGTATGATTGGAAAGCAAATTGAAGACAGATTCAAACAATTCGAATCGTCTCTAAAGTCTATTTTCGACCAAGTGAGTGAAAACAAATCCAAAATTCAAATTTTGGAAACAAAAATGGAACACTGTGAACGTATGTACAAAATGAAAAACCTCATCATATATGGAGAACAACAAGCGGCTAATGAAACACCTGAAATTTGTGAGAATAAAATGATGAACTTCTTCAAGGAGAAGCTGGAACACGAAATTTCCTCCTCCGAAATAGAGCAGTGCTACAGAATTGGCAAAGTTCAAAACGGCAAGCCTCGCCCAATTCTCGTGCAGTTCCTATCGATAAAAACCAAGAATCATATTTTCAACAAGAAGAAAATGCTTCGAAACTCTAACTATTTCATGAAAGAGGACCTAACAAAATCAGCAGTGGAAATGTGGAAGTCAGCTTCCGAAAAATTGGCAAGACCAATGTGTGGAGCCAAAGTGGAAGAATTTTTGCCATCGTAAATAATAAGAAAACTGTTTTGAATCATAGGAACATTGTGGGAGAATGAAGAACAAAGAACTGAACTACTACAGTAGGATCACGCAGGAATTTTTTTTAGAATACATTATGAATTTTCATTATTACCTACTATATTTCTATTTTTATTCTTATCCATATAGCAGCATCATTTCACTCACAAGAATAATTAATTTGGGCTCTTTCGAATTGTTCGATAAAAAACGTGAAACGTTAATTACTACTTCTTGATCATACTAAAATTAAGTTGACTTGGCAACAGTGTCAATGAATCAAGATTGTTTTATTCTAATCATCGCTACCTGTCTTCTGTGCCTGCCTCAACTTTTTTTTATTGTCGTCTAGAGATAATGTTTTTCTACAAAACTTTTTGTGTTCTATTAATTATCACTGATGTTTATAATGATTTACTTTTTTTGCATATTATTAGTCATTGGTATTTTGGGGGACCTGTGATCTCTTCTATTTACAGCACATTTTATATCACATATTTTTGTCTTGAACATATAGCGGAAATATTTGTGGCAATTATTCATGAAAAAATTTTCATTTTCATTTTTCAACGTAAGATCTCTGATTTCAAACTTTGCAGATTTTAAGACTTTCGTTTCCCTTGGGAGCTATGATGTTTTGGGGGTTGGTGAGACCTGGTTGACTGAAGATACTCCTGATTATTTAGTACATATAGATGGTTATAATTTTATTAGGAAAGATAGAGGTTCGAGAGGAGGTGGAGTTGGAATATATATCAAATCCTTTATAAATTTCGAAACTGTGGAAGTTGATATATGTGAAGCTGTGGAACAGCTATGGGTGAGTTTTAGTCTTAATAATGTCAAATATGTTTTCGGTACATTCTACAGGCCGCCTAATAAAAATTACATTGACTTTCTGAATAATTTCGAGGGAAATCTGGCAGAAATAGTTCCTCTCTGCAATGAAATAATATGTGGAGGTGATATCAATATAAATCTACTCGATTTCGAGAACAACAGCACAGAAGCATTCAAAAACTGTATTGATATTTTCAATATGAAACAAATAGTTACTGAACCCACTCGAATAACAAGTACTACATCCTCACTACTGGACGTGATACTTATTTCAAATGAAATAAATCCACTGGAATATGGATGTGAAGAAGTCTTCAATGTTTCTGATCATCAGCTGGTGTACTGTACTCTAGATATTCAAATGAAAAATAATACCAGTAAAACTTTTGCTACCAGAAATTTGAGAGATATTGATAAGGCCTTGCTAGAAAATTATCTTATACTAGCACCATTTGAAGATGTATATCTACTGGATGATATAAATGATAAAGTAGAATATTTCAATCAACTTCTCTTGAATATTTTTGACACATTATGCCCTGTCACGACTAAGAAAATAAGTAAACAGAGACCACCTTGGCTTACTGACACCATAAAGCTTATGATTTCCTTACGAGATAAAGCATCAAGAAAATATAAGAAAACTAGAAATGAAAATCACTGGCAATATTATAAAGATTTAAGAAACTTAACTAACAATTCAATCAAAAATGAAAAAAAAATCTATTTCAAACACTGTGTGGAAACTTATGGAAATGATAGTAAATTAATGTGGGAAAAAATGAAGCATCTTGATATCAAAAATAGAAAAACTGAAATTAAAAGCTTACCTGATGATCTAAACAAACCGAACGAAATAAATGTCAATTTTCTCTCATTTTCTGGAAAAACAAATCCAGTTGACCATAATCTCCTCTCATTCTATCAGAATAATTCAAAAGGGAACTTCGAATCATTATTTTCGTTTGCACCCACGGAAAGCAACATTGTATATGATTACTTAATTGATATCAAGTCGAGAGCTACAGGTGTTGATGGGTTACAAATTGAAATGCTTCTTCTCTGCTGCCCTAGGATTTTGGATGTTTTAACACATATTTTCAATACTTGCCTTCGACAAAGTATTTTTCCAGACCAATGGAAAGTGTCAAAAGTAATTCCAATTCCCAAAAAGTCAAATATATCAAGTTTCAATCAGGGCCATCTTAAGAGTTTCGGGGCCCCAAGGCACGAGATGTTTTAGGGCCCCCATATTTTTTTAATAGACTAAAATAGGTAATGAAACATTTCAAATAAAATAAAATCTTGCATATTGAACAAACATTAAGAATATATTATTTCAATAAGCAATTTAATATTTTGTAAGTACCTATTGAAAAGTAACTAAAACTAAGAACAATTTTTGGGAAACACAGGTACTCAGTGAAATGCAGAGAAAAATAACCTAAATATGTCGTTTTCTTGATTTGATTTCAGCAAATCTGTTTATGATCTCCTCGAAATCAATATTTTTTGTTATTTCATTTTCAATGGACAAAAGTGCCAAAGAATTGAGTCTTTCCTGTCCAATGGTCGAACGCAAATGATTTTTGACTAACTTCAATTTTGAAAACGTCCTTTCTCCTGCACAGTTCGATGTATGGGTGCATAAGAATATTCTGACAGCTACCTCTACGTTGGGAAATACCTGAAAAATAGGTGATTTTCATCGATATTTGAGTTCTCCTAAGTCACTTAATATTAACCTGTCTTATGTCAGAGTCTTTCAATAAATCCCAGAGATTTCTGAAGGTCAGTGATACTTTTTCCAAGGTATTCAAATATTCTTTTAAATGTATACATTCTTCTTCAAATTCGGGCTCCAAGTCTTCGTTATATATATTTATCAATGTCTTTGCACATGTTCTAATCAATTCAGTATTCAAATCTAATTTAGTTAAAAAACTGAATTTCTTGTCTAGATTTCTATATGCAGCTCCCCTTCGTTCTAGTTCTGCCCACAAAGTATCAACTATAACATAGAAAGTATTTGTTTTAAAATACTGGCTTCCATCCATGGCTAGAGCGGCATCTTCTGAAGACGTTCTGTCTTCGTTCTTTTTATTCATCACTTTTTTCCGTTTGAAGTCCTTCTCATATCTCGTTTCAGTGGTAGTGGATATATCTTTTGCTGCTTCTTCATAAATTCGAAAATCATCGCGCATCGACAATATGTAGTTGCTCAGTGAATTATATAAATGAACAACGTTATCTATATCAATGTCAGAACTTTGCAGTTTCTTGTTTGTTTGGTCGAATCTTTTCAAAATATTACTCCAAATGGTAGTCATCAAAGCAGTTTCCAATCGGTCTAATTTTTTAGCCAAGTTATTTGCTTCAACACGTGCCATAGATTTTTCTTTCACATCATTGCCTATGGTATTCAATGCATTATAAATCTCTCTATATGATATAGCTAGAGATCGACAGGCATCAGCACGAGCTGACCAGCGGGTTTTTGAGAGATTTTTCAGAGAAGTTGATCTACAATTTTGTTTCAAATGTTCATCTAATATTTCCCATCTATGGGTTGATGCACTGAAAAAATTGTATAGTTCTTGAAGTAAACTGAAATAGTTCACTGCCTCTGGACAAGATTCAGCAGCGCATGTACCAACTAAGTTCAAGGAATGTGCGGAACACGGAACATATTGAGCCAATGGATTAACTTCTTTTATACGGGCTTGTACTCCAGTATAAACGCCGGACATATTACTTGCGTTGTCGTAACTTTGGCCACGGCAGAACTTTATGTTTATATTTTTTTCGGCAAGGAACGATAAAATACAATCGGTTATGGATTCTGATTTATGACCAACATTCTGTATGAAACAAATGAACCTTTCTGTTGGTATTCCATTTAATTGAACATATCTTATGATGAAAGTCAATTGATCGAAGTGGGAGATATCTGGAGTTGAGTCAACGCTGATAGAAAAATATTTGGCCATTTTTATTTCCCCGATAATGACATTCATAACTTCATCTGCCATGAGTTGAATGAATTCATCGCAAATGTTTGCCGATAGATATGATACATTTCCTTTACCCCTATTGCCATATTCTGATAAATGACTCGCTAAAAAGGGATCGAATTGGGCAATCAGTTCAATGCATCCCAAGAAATTACCGTTTTCTGGTGACCCCAAACTCTGATTGGTACCTTTGAAAGCCAAGCCGCGAGCAGTCAGCATTTGGACAGTGGCCACTACCCTTTTCAAAACCTCCCGCCAATATTTTTTTTCTTCCTCGATTTGTTCGCAAATATGATGGTCGATCCTTTGACTAGATTTACCACGTGCACTCAATTTGAAGCATGATGTTCGATGTTGAGAAGTGTTCTCATGTTCAGAAACACGTGTTGTCACATTTTTCCAATCACAAAACCCATCCTTTGCGAATTTACTTTCATTTGATGAATAATTTGAAAACAATTTGCATGGGACACAAAATAGCTTGCCTGTAGATGGAGAATATACTAGCCATTTTCGGGTAACTCTCTCTCCATTCAATTTTCGTCTAAGAAATATGTTCTTCGAACATGATCTCTTCACATTTTCGTTGTATGATGTTGAATAAATTTCTGAAGATTTTGAAAAATCACCTTCAATGTTTTGATCATATCCGTTCATGCAAATATATTCAACTGTCGACTCATTGATTATCCAAGTTGCTGGATCGTTTCTGTCTATATTACATACCTCTGTTTCCGATTTCAAAGATTCCTCATTGGAATTCGATTCGTTCTTGTCCAATTGCATGCTTGTGGCTGGCAACGTGTCATCTTTTTCCTGCTCTCGCACGTCACTGACGATAACGTCATTTATTTCTTGAGTGGAAATACCGCTCGAAGTACAGAAAAAACTTTCAGTTTGGTTCATATCATCGGATTTTTCATTTTTCGGTTTAAATAAGTCTTGTAATTTGGGTATTTTTGCCATCATCAACTCCCTGGAACATTGTTTTTCTCTTTGCCTCTTACGTTTTTCACTCCCACTCTTTCCCCTTTTGTACATGATCGTTTATTGTTTTATAACAACTTCAAATAAATGCGAAAATACCCGAACCGCGTTAATATTAAATATTACTAATATTAGGTGAATGGCAATTGG